CATGTAGATAATTCTTTAACTCTGATTTAAACTTTTTAGTATCATTGCCCAAGTTTTTAATACTTTGTTGCAGATTGTTGAACACTTTTATGCCAGTAAAGTAGACTCCTTTTCGATATACTGATAAAGTTGTTGAGGGTAGGTGGAAGTTATATTTTTGTCTAGTATTCATGTTATAGACATCAGAATTTAACACAGAAGAAACTTAATTAGTGATAAGTGACTCTTGAGGTGTTGGATTTGGGGTTTTTCAGTAGTGACTTCAAAAAGCCTGATCATCTGGGTTGTAACACAGTGCAGTTTAGAGGGAAGAACGTGTATTTGCTGACTGCTTCACATTCTGTGAGATCTCATCCCAAAGACTGGGTATAATGATGGAAGTGTGTGTGCTTCATCAGAGTTATTCCAGGCCAATATGAAAATAGTTTTTTCAAACTAGAACAAAGCTAATCCCTTCCATACCCTTCACAATTCATTATCAACTAATCACCTACCATTCAATCTAGTCTGAGCTACTGGCAACATCATCAAATAAATCATAAAAAATTGAAGTACAATATCAGTGAAACCTTATGAAACCGAAACCATTTCAGGTTGTCATACATGCTTAAAACTATGTAAGTTGAAAATAAGTGCTTGATGTACATTTCTCACATCAACTATCATTTTTTCAAATCTAATATTACAGTCCAATGTCCTCAGGCCATGAGCCCATACAATATAAAAGACACCAACATTAGGGAAGGAAGAGCGATTACTTAGTTTCCGATGTTGGAATGACACCAATAACTCAGTGATTTATGAAGTGATCGAGATAAACATTACATAATTAACTGGAGACAGGCTAATGTCTCGACATTATAGAATGTTCTGTAGGGCATGACTCAAGACATTAGACTGAAACAATGTAAAATTACAGGGGAGGGACAAGTGTTTGCAACAGCGACAGCCTTCTTTGGATTCAATGTACCACCAAACATTGTTCTTTCGTAATTGCTCGATTAACGACACTATTCTTTTCGATCCACGTTGTAATTTTAATCTTCAAAGAAACCCACTCTAAGCACGCAGTTGATATGCATTTGCTAGAGTGGTCGGCAAAAAGCGCTTCAGAACCCATTCCACTTTAGCTTACAATATACCCGTCATCATTTTTACACCATTTTATTATTAGGGGCAGTGCACACCAAGGAAACTGCCAACCGCAACGCCAATGCAGTTTCCTCAATTTACGCTGCTTCATGCAGTAACATGTGAACTCGGGCTGATACCGTATTTACGCATGTATAGGCGGCGTACGTGTATAGGCCGCAGCACAATTTTCAGACAGAAATTATAGAAAAAATAATTTTCTTGGAATATTATTATTTCAGGAGTAGAACATTCTGTATTACTAATTATGAATATAATTTTTTTTAATGAAGTGTGATTTCGAATATAAGTCGCACCCCAGTTTTCCTCTTGAATTTTTGGCAAAAAATGTGCGGCCTATACATGCGTCAATACGGTAATTCTCGGAAATTGGGGTTCCCAATTTCCTTTTGCGTGCCCTCGACCTAATGAAATTCCAGGGGTGTTTATTCCGTGTCGCACGGATGTGCCCGTTCATGTTTTATGTCCATGAATTTCCAGAGAGTAACATTTCTCTATCTTCATTGGCCCCTGCCGCCCTTTCCGGCCACTTTTGTGCGTCCCACGGGTCCCACGTCATAGTCCCTGGCCGCAGGTACACCGCAGACGAAGTTGGTTGTGTCCGAGAAGAAAGCCAAATATGGGAGTGAGTGGGTTGTCTTTGGTTCTGTTAGAGGGAAATGGAGGGTATTACGTCATGGAATAGAAGGGCGTGGAACGTGAATAGGTAAGTTTGTTTGCTGAATAGAACTGTTATCGTGTTTGTAGGTTGTATGCAGAGATAAGGTGAGCAAACAAATTTTTAATGTTAAGTTCGTCTGTTCAGTAGTTCGTTTCATCATTATAGCTTAATTCTTGCACTAGATACAAGCGTGAAATTCAGGATTTATCACATACGGTTCAAATGCAAACTAACAGTCAGACAATGAGGCTAAAGAGAGAAAATTATCGAACTGAAATTCTGATTTGTGAGATGGTCAAATGTGGGATTCTGTAATTCATGGAGCTCTTGTACACATATTTGCGTCTTAAGTGCGACTAATTATCTAGTTGCCCATCCTCGCTATTTCAGCCATGTGGTAAATGTGCTAAAATAGTTGCAGTGTATGTCAGCGTTATATATCGTGAACGCGGTATTTCCTAATTAAAATTAATGAATCTTGGATTTAAAATAATTAAAATCTTAATGTTATTTCTGTTATGGTCGTCATCAAATCATTTAAAATATATTTGCTTGAGATTATTTCTCATTGGATTTAGTCGCACTAAATTCTCTTCGTGGCGTGGGTATTATTATTTGTGCAGTGCTCAAGACAGCCGTGTAGTGTTATCATCACTGTTATGTATGCTACATTGACTTGTAGGTTTTTACACGCCGTTGGACCACTTATGTTAAGTGGTTTGTGGGTGTAGATATTACCACTGATAACACTGAACTACACAAATAATAACGCATGATACGCATGCTGCAAATAGAATGCAGCCTGACTAAATTCAACAACGAGAAGCACTCTCAGGCAAATATCTTTTAAATGGATGGATGATGACCACAATGGAAATAACATTAGGATGTTAATTAATTTTAATTCCAGTCTCAATTAATTTTAATTAGGAAATATCGTGTTCACATGTGATAGTACTGACACACAATGCAACAATTTTATCAAGGCAGACAACACCTGATGATGGCCAAAACTTGTAGTGAGGATGAAGGGTGACTAGATAACAAGTTGAATATAAGATGGAAATATATGTGTACAAAAGCATTAATGCAGCAGGATTCTTAAATACAATATTATAATTCATGGGGGCACACTGAAGTTCCAAATGCACACAAAAGTGCAGTTTCCAGCCATTGTCTTTGTTTTTTATGTTGTACTGTATTTTGGGGACAGTTCATATTAGTTGGTACATTTAAGAGGTCCATTGTGGTCACTTTCATAGCATGGAGAAAAAGGTTATAGGAAAGAGTGGAATGTATATACATGCAATAAACTTTTCTTTATGGAAATGGGCTAAATGTTTCGAACTAAACGAGAAGTAAGCTATCTGTACAAAAACATTTCTAATGAATTTTGTATATACTCATACATTTGTTTATGGGCTAATGATGCTCTTATTACCAGTATCCCAGCGTTAAATGGTGGGATGATGACTAAATAATGAATTGGAGTGGATGTGGAGGGAAGCAGTCATGGCATAATTAGAGGTACTATCCCAACATGTCTGGAGAGACTGAGTAAAAGCATGTCTCATGATTGACATTGTCCTGGCCTAAATTGTGGTTGGCCATCCTCTGAATATAAGTAAAGCATTTTTACTTGAGCCAACCAGCTCCATAAGCAAACACTAGGGGAATGTGCTGAAATGAATGAGGTGGCAGTACTAATACTAGCACTACTACTACTACTATACTACTATATCTGATTCCAGAGAAAGTTGCCCATTAGTCATAAAATATGAATAAAGCATGGAATAAAATGTAATAATAGTAAGTTTAGAAAATTATTATGAAAGGACTGATTAAAGTCATTTGTATGTATACATGAGAATAAAGTATGTTATATCAGACATAAGTGTTAGTGGTGTTGCCATTATGATGTGTAAGGCTTGGCCCAGGATGTGTTGATTCAGTAGTTTCTAAATGTGTAAGTAGATAACTGCAGTTAGGTGCTTGTACATGATTCTGCTATCGGTGGAAAAAGTAAGTCACGATTAAAGAATGCTATGAGGTACTGACCACAAAAACCAGTTACACAAGTGCATTATTTTCTCATAATCATCATCTTCTGTTACTTGTATCTGTCCAGTTTTTATGGCAGTAGATGTGACTTCCTAGTTGCTCCCCTATGGCCTTGTTATCAAAACCTGTGGCTATTGACTTGTACTCTTCTCTAAGTATAATTATAATGATCAAGCCAAGGAGGGTGAGATGGGCAGGCCATCTAACACAAATTGAGAACAGGAATACATATAGGATATTGGTTGGAAAGCCAGAAGGACAGAGACAACTATGAAGATCCAAACATAGGTGGGTTGACAGTATTAAAATGGATCTTAGAGAGACAGGATGGGATAGTATGGATTGGCTTGATGTGGCTCAGGATAGGGACCAGTGAACATGGTAATGAACCTTCAGGTTCCATATAATGCTGGGAAGTTCCTGAGTAGCTGCACAATTGGCAGCTTCTCAAGAAGGGCTCAGCTCCATCATGAGTGAGTGCATTGTTCTCTGGTGTATTTCTTCTCTAAGAAAACCCTGTTGAATGCACTCTCTTCAGTTTGGAAATCATTGGAAGAAGACTGAGCTTGAACCAGATACTTAGGGCAAAACCTTTTACTTGATATATATGATTTGTTCTTCACATGAATATCATGTAGAACTCCCTCTTAACAAACTGAAAGCCCATAGGGTTGTGAGATGTTGAGGCTCCCAGATTTTCTGTACACATTCAGCTCACAGGTGGTGGTAACTTTGCCAGTCTTATGCACAGGCCGCCCCTATACATCCACTCCCCCATACACCTTCATGGTGTAGTGCTTAATTAGTAGGGCCCAGATCTTTATGTGCTAAAAACACTTAAAATTGAAATTACATTGAAATTACCATCCTGGCATTTCCCTGGAGGGACTGAAGAAACCATGGCAAACCCTGGTCACAGTTGCTGACTTCATGGCTGAGATTCAGACTGAGCACCTGTATATTTTAGAGCTTTACCTGTAGCTGTTCAGTTTGTGGTTTGTTATTACTAGGGCCCGGATTTTTTGAAAATGCATATGCGCATATGGAAATGCATATTTTGAGGGTTTTTGGTCGTTATTGCATATTCTACACGTAAGAGCATATTTCTACACATATGTTTGAAATTAAGGATAATTTCAGTGTTCTCTAATAAAATCGGTTTTGCCTATGTTTTTTGGATATCCCTTGCCAGTTGCTGTTCTCAACTCTCTGAGTAACGGCACTTTTACCACTTACAATACAAGCAGGTAGCTTGGCTATTTTGAAAGGTAGGGGGTGGGATTTTCCTGCATTCCATTGACCACGACAGCAGACAGTAGCATCAGAGTGCTGGTCTTGAGAAAAGCCTGTTCAGTTAATACGGTACTCTTTTCTTTAATAGTCTGCATCACAAAAGTGTTCATGCACTGAAAATGCCTAAAGAAATGTGCAGCAGTAGATATTTAAAAAATCGATCTGTTTCGGGTGTTGGTGACTATTCAGCAGACGGTGTCATCATGTACTGTCAAGTTTGCGCAAAGGAAGTAAAATGTGAAAATAAATTTCAACTTGAACAACACTCAAGAACAACTGCACATATTTAAGCAAAGAAGGGGAAGAAGAACAGCACACCACAACTACTACTACTTACACAGGTCAAACCCAAATCCTCTGTTAATACATTTTCAGCAGATCTTTGTAAGGCTTTAGTATGCAGCAACATTGCATGGAATAAATTAAGCAATCCAGTTCTGCGATCATTTCTGGATGCTTCAAAAAATACCAGACGAATCAACTCTTAGAAAGAAAATCTACCTTTGCTGTATGCATCTACTCTGGAGTCAATCCATTCTGACTTCAGAGGGAACTGTGTCTGGATATTGGTAGATGAGACAACCAATTTATGTGGCTGATACATAACAAATTTCGTAGTTGGTAAGCTACATGCAGACGAACCTGGCAATCCTCATCTTCTTGCTTGCAAGTACTAGAGAAAACCAACCATAGGACAATAGCAAGATTTGTAAATGATTCTCTGCGACTACTATGGCCATCTGAAATTGAGAATAATTGTTGTAAGGTGCTTGTATTACTCACAGATGGAGCTTCCTATATGTTGAAAGCAGCAAAAGCCTTACAAGTATTTTATCCAAATCTTATACACGAAACCTGTTTAGCACACAGATTACTATTGCAGAAAAATACGTTCACAGTTTCCAGCTATTAACGATTTAATTGCAAGTGGGAAAAACCTGTCTCTGAAAGCACCAGCTAGTGTCCAGTTCTACAAAGATTGCTTACCTCAGGTTCCTGTGCCACCTGAACCTGTCCTAACTAGGTGGGGAACATGGTTATCTGCAGTTTAATTTTATCAGGGGAATTTCAGTCGTGTAAAAGAAGTGGTTAAAAAAACTATATATGAGTATGCATGTGTCCGTGAAGCAAAAGTGGTGTTTGGATGTGACTATTTATCAAGATGTGAATTTTATCCATGCACATTTTTCTGCAGTTTCAAAAGCTGTTGAGAGCTTAGAATCTTGTGGTGCACTTCTTCACAACTCCCTTCAACTCGTTCAGAAAGCAACTTCTTCACTGAATTCTGCTCCAGGCGAAATTGGAGAGAAGATGAAATGCAAGTTATAAATGGTGATGAATTCGAACCCACGGCTAAAAAAGATTCAGTCAGTTAGTCAGTATTTGAGTGGAATTAGGGTATCTTTGCCAGATGAATGTTCCGAACCTTCGGCGCTAGTGTATAAATACTGTCCAATCATGTCCGTTGATGTAGAAGATCATTCTCAGCTTATAAACTAATTTTGACAGACAATAGACGAAGTTTGTCTCCAGAAATCATTGAGAGACTTTTAGTTGCCTATTGTGATGCTACTTTCTGCAGTGAATGATACATGTAAATAGGTGAGTCTGAATAAAGTGACCTGCTTCTTAAGTGCATATTGTTTTATTTTTGCTGCATATTTTCCCACTTTTTAGCGCATATTTTAAGTGTTTTTAGCGCATAAAGATCCAGGCCCTAGTTATTACATTAATGCTGAACATTGATGTTGGTTGTGTGGAATGGAGACAGTATGAAGGAATTTGTTTTTGTAAGTGAAGGGTTCTTTACATATATGTCCAGCATGGTTTTGTGGTGCACTGTCACATTTTAGCATATTATTCACTAGGCTTTAGTAGTGTGTAAGCTTCCCAAGTGTAAGGGTTGCAGGTTGGAGTTTACTGTTCAAAAATTCAGACCATGGCATTATATTGGTAATTGTGAATTTTCTGTTTCTAGCATTTTGCTGAGATTTGAGGTAGTCAGTGAAACTTGAAAACTTCACCAATGCCTGGGTGAGTACAATTTAAATCTTCTGTCCTTTAATCATATCAAGCAAAATGGTTGTTTTGCATTCCCAAGTCAAACATGTAGAATGTGATACAAGGGTTTGATCTCATGAAATGACAATATTTACTTATTTAGAATGCAGATGCCAAAGGCCAAGAACACAGTCCTTGAGATTGTATTTCCCAGTAACTGCTTGAGCTAGAGTAATTAAACCTGAAACATTTGCTTATGCCCACTAGATTTCGGGAAAGAAAGAAATCTGACTTTAAGATGTGCAGAAGATGCTTAGGAAAACATAACAGCAACAATAATAATACCACCCACGTGATTCTGAAACAGCATTGCCAAAGTTCCCACCAAGTAGTTTTCAGTAGCTCTGATTCATTGAGCTTGTAGGGATGACCTGGCAGGTAAAATGCACAATCCCAAAATCGTCAAGGAGCATGGCACTTTTCTGACCCTGTAAGGTCAGTATTTTTTTATTTTGCTTGGTGTCTTTGTGCAAGTCATTTTTTGGTGGGGGGGTGGCTTGATGATGTGGCAAAATGTAGTTCTCTTCAGGAGAGTGAAAATATCGTTTGTTTTGTAAAATCCAGTTGATGTTATTAACTTATATTTTATTGCTTGGGCTTTGTATGACGTCCATTGGTGAGCTTTTCTGGACACAGTACATTTTGGTTTCATAACAGGAGATGTGGGTAAAAATCAAAAAGATTATTAATGCCATCCAGTGTGATTGATAAATGTTGTTTGTGTGTGTGTGTCTGTGTTCCCCCCCCCCCCTTCTTTTTATTNATTATCAATACATACAGAAACTACTATTATAGTGTCCTGCATATAAAATATTATATCCTAGAACAATTACTAAGATGTGCATGAATTTTTTAAAACATAGCCTAAAATATTATAATTAGTCTTATTTACAATGTATTGTTTAAAGAACTTATTGTTAAAATTTAGAACCAATTTGGTCCATGTCTTTATACTTCTCTTCAAGGAAGATGAATGTATTCCATGTCATTGTTCTGTTGTTTGAAGAATAGGACTCTTTAGCGCCGTCGTCCAGTTGGTCAAACCAGGTTGTGTTGTTATACACAAACAAGTCAGGAAATGTTTGCACAGATAACAATACTGGAGCATTTGCACTCAGATTTCCTTCAGACTTTCAGTTTGTTTTTGCAGAATTTTGATGCTGTTTTGTGAATGGTGTAAATGGGGAGAGGGGGGATGAATAGGCAGTGAATGGGGGAACAGAATTTAACTGCATTGATTTTTTTTGTACTCTCAGACATTATGAAAGTAAAAATTACTTATGGATGGACAAGTAAATTTTCCAGTGTTTTTTCTTTCATGTGTGTGTTTGTGTGTGCCTGCATGTGTGAGCATGTGACATTCATCATTGACCAAAGAGTCCTGTAACCCCTTTTTTATTTGTTGAGCACTTTTTTGGCTGTTCCATAATGCTGGATGTATGATTATAAATTTCCGTAAGCCCCAGTGACATGAGGATGATAGGTTTCAATCATTTTTATGGGTGGCATAGCCTAAGGGAAAGGACTGGACATATTCTCTGCATGGATTATAAGTTTTTGATCTCTGTGAATGACTTATAGCAGGCAGGGCAGATGAGCAAACACCTCCAGTTTTGAATTTGATTGTAGTCAGTTTACCTGTTCTTGAGAGATGACAGCATAGAAATTGATTCTGTTTAATTACCTCAAAAACCATTAGACTTATGGAAAATATATACTTGGCAGAAAGTTTGATTCATTTTTATTTGCAACATTTTTTAAATATTTAGTGAGTTACAGATAAGCTAAGTTCAAGATGCATGCAGAAACATGGATGTCTACATGTGAAGTGTCTGTTGTTGTTATGCAGTTTTAACGAAAATTGGATTGTGTCTACAGATTTTAGTAGACCTCAGTATTAGGTATGAGAATCTGTTTACTGGTTCTGTAGTTATATGCATGTAAACATAGACAAAGGAAAGGTAGAAAGCATATTTTTTGCCACTTTTGTTCCTAAAACACCAAAAATGTAAGATTAGACATTTTAGTAAGATGACCTGTTCACACCTCTTCCCAGAATTAGATGGTTCCACATTTTCACCCATTTGTGACGTGTAATTCAGCTAAGTCATAATAAATGGATAAAGTAGAAAATGAATTAATGACCTCACTACTAGAAACTACTGCAGTTGTAATGTAAAAGGTAACATTATTGCTTGTACTTCTGTATTTAAGCACTGTGTGGTGAAGTCATGTGGGAGAAGAGTATAGCTTCACTGGATGGAATGAGTGTTATTTTCACCCCTCCACCCTCTGCATATGTTCATGTTATAAATTGCTGTTAAAATCTCTTGAATAAGTCTGAACAGATCTGGATTGGTGCAGCACCTGCCCCTACACAATATTACCTCCACAGATATTTGCACTGTAAGTGTGCCAGATGTGTCTAAGAGCTCTAGGACCTGTGCAGACACAGGCTAGCTTGGGATTTTTCCCTGAGGGAATACCACAAAGGTGCATGAAGCTGATTGCTTACCTCTTGTCATTTGCCAAGGTGAAGAATGAGTAGAAGTGTACATCTGTACTTTCATGGGGTCATACTCTCAGCACACTGTTGTGACAATGTGTGCAGTGAGCTGATGAAAGATACTGCTTTATCGTCTTGTTGCTTCATCTTTTACAGATTAGCCCTTCATGTCTCTTGCCATTTAGAATTAATTCTGAACCTGTGAATCTTACAGACAGTTGGTAGGAGTCTTTCGACTGTGCATGGTTGCTAGCTACACACAGAAAAAATGCACATGTACCTCAAGTGGGATTGAAATCTGTGATGGGAGGAAACATTTCATACCTTAGACCTCACTAGAGATAGCGCCTTATCAGATCAGTATCTTAAGCAACAAACAGGAGCATTGTGTAAGGTGCCTTTTGTGACTCATCATGCTTCCAGATTCCAGGCATGTTCACTGTGCTCCTCTGATAGAGCAGAGGATGTGACCCGTGCAGCACAGTTTGCTGAACAAACATGAGCTGCTTTTGGGCGGCACCTGTTTGTTCAGTGAGATAACAAATGTGTGCTGCTTGCTGTGTGTGCAGTGTGATGTTCTGGAGCAGTGCGTGGTTGCTGATGTGCTGAAGAGCCAAAAACTATGGATGTAATTACTTACACATCCTCTTGTTCTTTGAATGTAGTGCTGGAAACGTGTTGGAATGTGTGTAATGTGAAGTCATACCACCTATTATTAACAAGTTTTGATCTGTGATAGCCAAGTCAGTGCAGTGACTAGGCCACGGGCTAGACAATCAAGGGATCAGGGTTTGATTCCCAGCAGGGGCAAGGTTTCTTTCTCGTCTTAACATCCAGACTATGTCTGGGGCCCACACAGCCTGTCTTATGGGTACCAGGATGTGAGACTAGTGACGAGATTAAGGATCTCTGAAGCTGTAGCTCCACTCTCCCATGCTTCCATGTTTGTTTTATGGTACTTAATAAGCACATGGACAACTTTACTGTACTTGGTCTCTTGTTCTGGAAGAAGAATGGAGATAGAGGCTTGAAAGGAGGTCCAGTGATTGAGACTAGCTCTTTCTAAGGGTCCCAACTGAGTAGGTTTATCCTTCCCTATCCACCTGAAGATGGAGACAGATCCAGTCTCCGAAACGTCGTGGTTTTTTTTTGTCTTTTATATACCAGACGATGGGTGAAGTCCAAAAGAAGTACGGAGATAGAGGCTGTTTGAGAGCAAGGAGTTAAGAATGTCATGGGATCTAAGATAGGCTAAGCAGCCAGGAAGTTGAGATAATTAGATATTGAGGGGCTGTACAGTTTGAACTCTTTTTTTCTGTGTTTGAGCTATGAAGAAACATGGCTGAGATATGTGGAACACATAACACATGGGGAAACAAGTAATATATACAGAATTTGGAAAGAAAATCTTTAGGCAAGAGGTAGTTTTGGAGGATAATAGTAAAATGGATCTTATAGACCTTGGGTATGAATATATTGTCATGTTGTATGACTAGAGACAATGTTTGGATTGGTGACTGAATTTATTGACATCTTAAACAACTCATAACTACAAATAACTGCAACAGTCTTGACTGAGTTACGCACTGCTAAGATCACTGTAACTACAGCACACATAAAGTCTTTTCAGTCGGCACTAGTAGCCGTTTGTTGGTAGTGGCTTCAAGTGGCAGATGTTCCTGTTCCTCTGGGTTCCTGAACTGCCCCTGGCAATGGCTACCAGCTTCCTCACTTCTCACAACTGCAGCTCTCATCTGTCTCAAACAACCATTGAACAAGTGGTCCTCGTTATATAGCCCTGGCAGGATCACACAGAAACAAATCTTCCCTTGTTGCATGTTCTTTCGTTGCTGGGGAAACATGTCTACAGAGCTGTTCCCTATCAATGCCTGTTGTACTGTTGCCTGTTTACACAGCTGTTACTTGGCAGTGGGTCTACATCTCACAGATTGAACTGACTTGTGTAAGCTCAGGATAGAGTCCAGTGGTAGGTAGGCTTTTGTGATTATAGTGATGACCAGGTCCAGGATTTTGATGACCTAAAATATTTAAAAATGACCAGAAAAAATCTAGAAAAAAATGCCTTAAAATATAACATGTCATGGAAATCTAATTATTTTAAAAAGTATTTTTAATCTTTATTAATACTCTGAACTCATGTCATACTTATGTCATAGACATAAACTGCATTTTTATGAGTTGGAGTCCTGATGAAAATCTTCTTTGTCCTCTGAGAGCATCCACGTAAGGAAATTTTGTTCTCAGTTCCTCCGACACTCTATGCAGTGCATGAGCTAGGCAAGTAACATGCACCAATTTTGCATAAAACGACTTTATTGACTTTTCTGCTTCTAAAATATATGGGGCTGCATTGGCCACAAAAACCAAGACTTTGTCGTGACATATACCCTCTGGCCACAGTAGAAACATTGACCTGTCAAAGAGTTTACAAATTGTGGAATGAGTA